TTGTTTGAAACCAAGGCCATTAATTAATCTTTGGCAGGTAGGATTTTGAATGCCAATAATTTAGGTAAAAGATGGTGTCTCTTAACGTCTTTTTTTATTTTTCCTTTTTATCCGAGTTATTCCATAAGAACTTGCGATGATAATGTTTATAGAACATCGCTAATAACCAAAATGAATGAATGGGAACTAATAAGTCGATCCATAGCACGTCTTGCTTTTACTATTGTATCAAGAAATTAAGATGCTTTTTATGTATTGTAAGAGCTTGTACAAGGCTTTGAGATTTCCATTTCAACTGAGATATTGAAATAGATATAGCTACAAATTTGAGGAAAATGTGGAATTTTGAATCCCACATAACTACATACAAGCCGAATAAATATCCTCAGGATACTGTGAGAAATTACATTATAGATTGAAAATAAAGGTACCAAGTACACCATTTAGTCCTTATATGAACATCTAAATTCTTTGATCTCTTTCTTGTTTGGGAGAAAACCTTTTTTGTTAATTATGATGTAAAAGTGATCAAAATTAGGACATATTCTTGAAAGGCTTATACACTTTAAGATCAGAGACAACTCCAGCAAAAGAGCCAGCAGCAGCAGCAATAGAGATTATAAGACAAGCAACACTTAGAATTTGTAGGCTGAGCCATCTTGCACTCCATTTTGGGATCTTCTTTTGGACTATGTACATTTCGACTGGAAAGTATACGGTAAGGGGCCAGAACCCAAACGCGCCTAGAATTCCAACAACATCATTGAAGAATGGCATGAGCATTGAAATAATTGTTGTAATGATCACGAAAATTGTTCTCCACACGAGTCGGAAAATATTGAGTTTCAAAGGCTTGTATCCCAGAATTGGGACTTGAATTTCTTTGGTGATGTATTTAGTTCTCCACACGAGTCGGAAAATATTGAGTTTCAAAGGCTTGTTTCACAGAATTGGGAATTGAATTTCTTTGGTGATGTATTTACTATCCGGGAACCATTCTAACGCACTTTTTTCAACAAAGGCGAAAAGGGGTTGGCAATAAACTTGGTAAGCACCTATGAGGTGGATAACAATGGCAGCGTTGGCTATGTCAAGGAGCCAGTATGGATTGTAGAAGCCAAAACCAGTGAGAAGATTTCCAGGTGAAAGGTCTCCAAATGCTGCGTAACCAAAACAGCCACAGGACATGTAGAAAATTGTTGTTACTACCACACTTAGTAGAGTTGCTTTCTTCATTGTCTTGTATTCTGACGGTGGGGATTTGATTGTATCCTGTTATAAAAACATTAAAAGAATCAAAATTAGGCTCGTGTTGTAAGGTCGACTCTACCAATTTGGACGTTGTAAAGTTAAAATATTGACCGTTATAGTGTCCGGTACTGGATACCTGTATTTCAATAAGGATGAGGGAGTAAGAATAGGCAAAAGCTATGGCGCCAAGAGCTTGGAAGCTTCTCCATATTTTTTCCATTTGAGTGACATAGCCAATGCTAATTCCAGTGAGACTTCCCCTAATTTTCCCAGTTTCTAAAGCAAAGATTCATAAATTATTAGGTTGCAACACTTGAAATTAACAAATTTAATGCTTTTAAAGCAGAATATAAAAGAAAAATGAAAAAAAGGGGTTCCTCTCCTACCTGCAACTTTGGCAATTCCAAGGCCTAAACCAATGGTTGAGTAAGTAAAAGACATGACCGCAGCAACAATTGAAAGCCACCATATTTGATCGAAATCTGGGATTTGAGAGAAAAGTATTTGAATAACACCAAATGCAATCATGTAAGGATTGCTTGAGATTCTGCAAGGACTATTATCTCCTTTTGAATGGAAGCAATTGGATTTCTTGATTGCCCTGTTTATTCATGTTTGTGAATCAGTAAAATTTCCGAGAATGATTTTGAACAGCAAAACTGAAATAAAACAGAGGTTTTCTTGCTCCAAATTTGACTCATACTTACATCATGCTTATAGAGGAAGCAATTGTATAACCAATGGCAACTCCAAAAAGATTCAAGTACTGAATTGCTCCACAAATTTTCACCTGAAATCCACCTGAAATTTTCAAGTACCACAAGAACGTAAGTAGAAAGAATGAAATATAACAGTAATATTACGGCACCTAGGTCGTCTACACTCGAGAGATTAACTGTATAGTATGATTAGGCTCCACACCATTGAACAAAAATTACCTAGGTTGGCTCTGACAGCGTCCATGTAAGTATAGTTTCTATTTCCGGTATCAGGATCGCCCAACCGGTAACATGATGCTAGAAGAGCAGATGTGTAGTAGGTGACAATTGAGAACAAGAACATCACAGTTGGACCAGCTATCCATCCCAGTTGAGCAGTGGCCCAAGCCAAGGACAAAACACCAGAACCAATCACTGCTGTTATTATATGAGCACTTGCAGTCCACACAGTTCCTATTCAAATACAAAGCATAAAGAAAAAATCAGCTAAAATCTAACAAAACTATAAAAACTTACGTAAAAGGTAGATATAAAAGAAAATAATACCTGTTCTTTTGAGATGGCCATCATCATCAAAACATTTGGAACCACCCTGAGGAGGCGCATTGAGGGATAAGTCAAACACTTGGTTATGGCTGTTGTTTTCACCCATCTTTGTTTGAAACAAGTCAAGAAAATGAAATATCAGAGCTATGCCGGAAGAAAAACTAAGCTCAATCTATGTTAATAAATGATCTTCTTTAAATTCAGTGCATGAAATTGCTAAATGGACCACTCTTCAACTGTATCTTTCCAGTATTTTAAACTACTGAAAAGAATTCTCACAAAAGCACACTTTCCAAAGTTTCGCGAAACCCGAATATTTATCAAGAAAATTTTACTTAATAGGCAACTGATCAAGAATTGAATGCAGAAGGGTGTGTGCTTTGTGGGAAGCCAAGTCAGGCTATATATAAGCAGAGAAAGAACTTATAAAAGGTGTATGTAAGAACTTATAAAAGGTGTATGTAGGGTAGACTAAGGACCTCATGACTCAACACGTTTTGTCAACTAGCCTTTGTAGCCACCCCGACCCCCACCAACACCACCTATAGAGATATTTTTGTCTTTGGGGGCTTGGGGTGGGGGGGGGGGGGGGGGGTTTATGGTGGAAAATTGACTTCTCCACTAGTCTGCACCTTCCTAGACGATTCAAACTACTGGTGATTGTGGGATATTTTTCATTTTTTCCTGAAGGTAATGTGGAAAACAACACGTGATGAAAAGTAATTATTTTACAGGAAAGAAATAAGTAGAAAAGAGAAGGGAAAAGTAACTTCTTAAAGATTGTTAAAAATTGGGGTTCCATCTTAAAACATCAATTTTATTAAGAAGAGTAACCCAAAATCTTTATTAATTGGTCTGTGTTAAGGGATATATATCACACATCGATAAATGATGTTGACACAGACCAATTAATAAAGATTTTGGGTTCCATCTTAAAAGGTCAACCTTATTAAGAGGAGTAGCCCAAAATTTTTATTAATGGGTCTGTATCAACATCATTTATCGATGTGGGATATATATCTCTTAACAAAGAGAACTTTATATATTCTATAGATGTGGTAGGTTTGGATTTGGAAGGTGTAAGATCAGACAAGTTGCTGTCGGATAAATTAATGATGCCATTATTTTTTTTTCAGTACTTCTTTGAGAGTGACCACTTAAAGAGCATGTAGAGATTACATGTTTACTACGCAGCATTAGACATGAACAAACTGTATAGTGAACAAATTATCAATTTTTTTGCCCAACAGGCCGAGATCATGGGAATTCACACTTTTTTCTACGAGAATGATGGAGAAATACAATGTTATATCGACCTAATTAGGTATCAAGTTGAGGGAAGGTTCAAAAGTAGGCATGATACTTGCTTAGCTACATGCTTCTTAGTTTCAAAGAGATATAGCACATCCATTATTGGACAGCTAAATGTCCGGATATAGAATGTTAATAACATGCGTGTACGTATGATCTTGCATAATTTGCAAATACAAATTGTAGGTGAATGAAATCTATGCGCAACTTGATTTAAAGATTCTTTAACTCTCGACCACTCATAATTACATTCTAAAGAAAGATTGAAGACAATGAAATGCATGCAGTAAAAACTGGATTAAAAAAAACAGAAGAAGAAATTTAAGGGTTCTTACTGTCATTATGTAAGTTGTTTCCTCCTCCGAGCAAAATGGCAACAACGGTAAATCAGAAGGGAACCTCAATTTGATGAAATACAGAGAGGATGAATTTGTTTTAGTATTGTGTGTCATTCTTTAATCGAACTCTCAGCAATATATATGTGACAAAAAGGACAAAAAAATATATTTTAATCTCTCTTTTAAAGAGAACCTTTGAATCAAAATAGTGTGAAAGCTTTCTCCTCCATCCTTTACCAGAAACAGAATAGGGTTCCTTTGATATTAATAATTAAGCCTCTGAGTAATGCGAGTAGATGAGTATAATCTATGAGCACTTGAGACAACTATCAATGTTCCTTTTTTTTTTTTTTTTGAGGAATAAGAATATAGTCCAAAATTGCTGTTATCACTAACTTGCATGATTTGAAACCTAATTAATTTCTATTCGTAGATGGACAATCACAAGACATCCTCTTATGTTTGGTTCCCAAAGTCTGAGGAATGAAAGTTTATTACACAGATAAATTTATGGTCTCAAAAGGGTATCTTTTACTGTTTTCGTTGTTCGATTGAAAGATCGATTTTGAAGTATAAATTTATGGTCTCAAAAGGGTATCTTTTACTGTTTTCATTGTTCGATTGAAAGATCGATTTTGAAGTACTAAAGTTGTTATCATAGAAGGCTATTCACAACGGGTAACAAGGTGTCGTAAAAATTCACTTTGACAATTTTAACAAATAAGTACGCCGATTATGATATGTCGGATTTTTAAGCATCAGTCATCGTTTGATGGTGGGTGGGGATAAGAATTTAGATCAAATTGGTTTTATTACTTATGGGAATACATGATTTTGAGGCACCATTCATAGATGGACAAAAATCACTAGAAATTCTATTCTGTGATAATCTCTGGTTCCCAAAGTCTGAGGAAAAAGAACGGTTATTACATAAAGACAATTACTCCTTTTGAGAGGGTATCTTACAAAATTTTGATGCATTGCACCTATAAATTAATTAATATTATTCTTTTAAAATGTGCAGTTACCTCTGTAGTTGCATTTGCTTCTTGTTGTTGTACACACGATAAATCTACTCGAGTGAAATGAGGAAAAATGATAAGCACTGACTTGATTGTTAATTATTTTTATTTGAATGAATATATGTCAACACGTGTCATTTTTTCATGAAGTATAATAGATTTGGATAGAGTTATTTGATTAAAATAAAAGACCGATTAAGTGATCAAGTCGTGATAAAATGTGTCCTGGCAGATCCTTCATGGGATGGGAAGAGATTGGGTTCTTAGTCGATTTTCTTGATCTAAATGCATAGTCATCTTAATATTATGAAGTTAAGCAAAAAAGTACATAAAGAGAGAGAATGAAAAACTTGGTTACGGAAATTGAAGGTTAGGCCGACTACTTTAATACAGATACACCTAGCCTGAAATGAGGACGCTGGAGTCCGACGGGGATATATGGTCTCATTAAATGGGACATAAGTTCATGAATTACCTCTAATTCTTTTAATCTTATTAAGACATTCGCTTTTTCTAGTACTATTTAATGTCCACCGTTACATCTTTGGTCTCCATCCTGCGTAAACTGGGTTGTACCCCCATGCCCGAGGTAGCCTTTTCACGTCTAGAGAGGCTAGATGGTTTAAGCCAACCCCACTCCAATTTTTTAATTTGTTTTTCTATTTTCTCAAAAATTAACTAAAAGTTCAAAATAAGTAAATATTAGGGGCTAGCATTTTTTATTTAGCTCACGTTTCTCTCTTTATCTCTCATATTCATTTTTCAATTAAATAATGTTATTTGGAGTTGCTCACTATTATAGTAGCTCTATTTGGCGTACACGTCGAGATTAATTGTTTGATACACGAGATAATAAAAAATTATTATATTAATACATCAAATCACTATCCGACATATGTATGTCACGTAGGACAACTACAATTGCGAGAGACTGCAAATAGAATTACTATTTTCAATTACATATTCATACAATAAAATATT